GGTTTGTTTTTATAATGTTTTGAAGAGCGCATTAACGGTTTTATTTTTCTTTTACTTTTTCGAGAAATCAATTAATTGTATGGATCAGATTGAAGGCTGATTATCTTGAAGTCAGTTACTGTTGATTGAGAATTGAAAAGAATGTTCTGATTTTCATGACAATCCGATTTAATTGTTGGTTAATTATACCTAAACTCCATGCACTACTTCAAACAGCTCTGGCTTAAACAAATTTTCCAGAGCTTATGCATGCAAAATGATGTTACCGTAATTTTTCTTCTAAATTCTTTGAACTTCATTGGTTTGATGCACCATACTTCAGTATGTTTGTATCATTTCAGTGAAATTGACGGTTCTTTGATATGCTTCAAACATATTGTTATCCCATCTACGTTTGGAATTAATCTTCCTCGAAGTCACTCGTAAGTACGCATTCTTTTTACCTGAATATTTTACCTCAAATCTCTCTCACTGACCATATCCCTTCAAATAAGCCTTCGTGAATGACTACTGTCAATTTTCTTCAGAAAGTTGGGTAAACGTATCACATTTGAAGTTTGTTTATTAAACTTCCTCGTTCATTAGTTCGATAGCGCCGTCCTTTACCGACCATTCTGCAAGCCATCAAACATTTTAGGTTGTTCTGGCTATGAGATAAAACGTCCTTTCAACAGATTCCAGCATATGATGGGGACAATTGCCTGTGAAATTGAAAAAAATTTTGCAAGCTGATTTGAGCGTGCTCAATGAAAGTTTTTGTCGAAAGAACACAAGTGATGCTTGACTTTTATTTAAAATTTTCAGCGCTGGGGGTCTATATCCAAAAGTACAGCAGGATGATCATCGTTCCACGCCCAACTTAGGTGGCTCATCATCTGCGGAACGCGACATAGCACATCGGAACTCCCTTACAATTAAATTACCATCCACACGTTACGGTGTTGACGACGTACCATTCAAGCTGAACCCTTCAGTGCAGACTTATCTGTCTCTCAGAAAGGTACTATTTATTTCGTTTTTGCCATGCATTTCCAGTTCGATCCTTATTTTTTATTTCACTTCCTCATACAGTTTGGATTCGTTGTGCTCCATTCATTTTTGTTGGAGAATATTTTTGAAATTTTGCGTGGACGACCGAACGTTCTTCATTGTGTATCTTCGATTTGTATTCAGAAATAAGTGTCGTCTCTATCTGGATCATTGTCTTTCATTTTAACTGAAATTGAACAGCAGATCTATGATAGGCGTTTTCTGGCCTATGACTCTTCGATTTTCATCTGTTTTTTGGCATCTCGTCACGAGTCATCGAATGTTTATTTCGCAGTTGTCACCGTTGTCTTTCATTTTCAGCGAACACTACTGAAGCTTTTATATTGTTGCACTCCTAGGTCACTGGATTCTGTCAGAGACATGTCAACTCGTGGAATTTACATTTATGAATAACGAATAAATTTCAGATGGGTGCATTACCAGCGCTGAAGGTTTGTGACCGAGCAAGATTGGATTCGCTGTTGGATTATTCGTTCAATTTAGAACGTGCCACTCTTTCCAATCCATGAACTCTCTGTTCTTGGGTTTTTCTCTTAGTGAGTAAAGGGAGGAACAAGAGGGAAATGTAAAACATCAATTTTTGTTCGTGTGGTTTTGCAACTGACTCTAGAAGAGATGTGAGTAAAACTTGTCGGAATCGTCAGTGAATTTCGTTTTGGGAGATTCTCATCGAAAAGCAATGATTTCCGTCTTCAATTGTACTGTTTCAGCCAGACTGCTCTGTAAATTGTTTGTTTTTAATGTTTGATTGATTCCTGAACAATGTATTCTTATCCTCATTCGTCGTCATTCAGTAAACAGTCACTGTCGTAGAATGCTAACGTTACATTGTTGTAAATGTTTTTTTTGTGCTATGCTGCTGTTCTGCCATTCAATGCGTGCAGTACTGTATTTATTATTCGAATATTACGCATCACATTAAATAGCAGTTGTAAGGGAGTGCTGGATTATGGGTTATCATTTACCCATCAGTAACGATGCTGAATGTTTTTGTAGCATATCGAAGAAGGTAATGTCGCATTTCTATGCGTTAGTGAGTTAAAAAGTGAGATTATTTGACTGCAAAATCTTGAGATTTCTTTTCAGCAATCCAATGAAATTCCCATTAAGAATTTTTCTTAAGCGTGCTTGTTCCTTCTGCCCAGCTGCTGTGGACTGTTTCCATTTTGAATTGCCGTTTAATTGTTTCTTATTTGTTATTGTTTGTTTCTTATTATTATTGCTGTTTAATTCTGAAAATTATTTTGGTTGCTGTTTTTATATGTTTCATTATAATCTGTTCATTTCTCTTTCGATTATTTTGCTTTATTATTCAATTTTCACACGAGTCATTCGATTTTTGTTAGTCTCTTTAGATGAATTTCTGTGTTGTTTTTGTAAGAAACGTAAACATTTTCAGTTTTTTACATTTATTTGGATTTTTTCTTGTTCCGTTGTAATTTCTGGTATTGTTTTGATATCATAATCTTTCCTTATGTCTAATGAAAGATCACTTTTATTGTGTACTGCTTTGGTTGGGGTCATCGCTTCAAGCAGTTAATGTATATTAATGAACGCTTTTGTTCGAGTTGAATAATAAAGCGTCTTGATCTCCTCAATGTGATTAATCGCAAATCATTTTAAAAAGAAACAAGACGCACATTTTTGTCCCGACTGATTTTATGTGTCATGTTTGAAAGTAATTATGAATATGTGTTCATTCCGTAAAAATTATTTGTTTTCGATTTCATTAATTCGTTGTAATGATTTTTTGATTTATTTTGTCTGCGTTTACTTCTCAAATACAGGAATTTTGGTATTTTATCTAGGCGCGTTAACCTTTGCTCATTTGTTTCCTCAATAATTCATGGAATTTTTCCCCTTTTCTCCAGAGTTATTAATCGTTTTCTTGTTCAGTTTTTTTCTTGAAATATCATTTTGCCACAATTCATTCATTTTATGAAATGATATTAGTATTCTTTCTTAAACGTCTTAACTGTTTTTTTCTGTGTTTTCTAACGATAATATAAAAAATTCCAAGAAAAAATTCGGCTTGTGCCGATAAACTACTTTATCACAGTTCATTTTCTCAGTCGTACTTTTTCACATCTGGAGATTCTGGCAAATGTTTATGNATGCGTTTTGGAGACATTCGCGAATTTGACGGCATTTGTGCTTGATGCCGTTCTCTAAAGGATTACCTTATCAAGAAGCACTTCATACTGTATACAAATGTTTTCACATTTTGAAAATTCAATGATATTGGTGCACCACTCGGTTTCGAGCAACTACCAATATCGTTGATGTTTTGTGTCAAAGCCAGGCTATGATTTGGCTTGTATCTATTATCTGATTATCTGTTAAATTGAATTTCGATTGCTTCCACTTAAGGTAATCACTCATTGAACCATTCACTGAATTTTTTTGCATCAACGTTTATCGACTATTTGTTCGTTGCAGCTTGACGTTTACATACATGCATACCGTTGTTATAATCTACCTTTGATTTTGTTCTCAACCACTGAAGTATGATTGATCCTACAAAGCGATAATATTAAGCAGTCGAATGACGACGTTTCGTGCCATTCGTGTCTCAACGATCCCGAATTATGTATGATCATTGTTGTCGTTCCATGTGCAAATTAATCGGTGTTAATTATAAGTTCCATTCAAATAACACTTTATCATGCACAAATAAACCGTTTCATCACTATATTCGTTCTCGTCTCATTCCAAGCGTAATGTATGGATGTGAGTTATAGATTGTGAAGATCTTTGCATAGTGCAAATTTTATTGAGTTAACTGATTAAAGTAAACTAAAGGCGAAAGATACATGTGGAAGTGAAATGTTGCTGATGTGAGTTCATTCTCGATTGCTTCACATAAACGTCGCATTTTGAATCATCGCTTCCGGAACCAGCTGCAGATAGTATGTAATGTGAAAATATCGTCGCAGTCGGAAGCGTTCAGGACCAGTCTTACGGGTTGCATATTGCAAACCGTAATCGGATTTCTATCTGATCTACAATAACTAGTCATTAAGAGTTTATGCCCCTCTTCTATCACCAGTATACTAAACATCGCATTCTCCATTCTTTGAGCTGACTGATAGCGGCACCCATTCAGGAAAACATGTGATCATTATCTCATGATCACAGATAATTGCGTTTCATTTTTTAAAACAATATAAATAGTAATGACTGGCTGAGTAGCTGCTCTGTTTATCAATTAAAGTGAAACGAAATGAATCGGTTAACAATTATAAATGGTTATTAATTGGTTTGGTTCATAGCGATAAGCACCCATTCAGCACTAAACATTTAGTGATTGTGAGAAATTTAATGGTTCAAGACAAGATGAAGTGCTTTTCGACTTGTATGGGCACGATTGCATCGGCATATAATCAATTAGGCATTTTTTGCATACTTTCCTTATCAGTCATCAATAAGACTATAACCAAATCGTACGTGAACCTGTTTCAATGATTTTCATCTTCGTTCGAATAATTGTTTCCAGCCGAATACCTATTCTCAAATCGATTCACTTCAAGAATTCTCATGTATTCGTTCGTGGTTTATAAATGCTCCTCGTTTCAGAGTTTCACTATTACTATTGTGTCACCGTGACATATCCAGAGTTTCACTGTCGCTATTGCTTTCTTCAATAAAGGATAACAGTTGAAACCGTGATGATTTTTGCTCATCAATTGAACAAAGTTTTTTAAAGAGTATCCTGTGTGCGCTTCACAGAAAAATTTTTGTTCCTGATCAAACTCTCTCAAAGATCATTTGAACTCAAAGATCATCGATTACGTTTTTGAGTTCTCAGATAGAAATAATAATGTTGTTGTGAATTCTGACGCTGTCCTTCAGCTCAAGGAACAAACATCGTTCAAAAAGGATCAACCAAACTTTCATCACCACAGTGAATTTCCATTTAATTCGTTGTTTCTTCACAGTGCGGTAGCAAAATTGCACCTGTAACGAACAACTTAAATGAGTGTCTTCGAACTTTGAATTCGAAGATCCTCAGTATCGTCTGATTGTGAATAAGGGCGAAAGTTATTCACTCCGTATTTGTAACATTCATAAAAGTTTTATTTTGATGTTCTCTATTTCAAGCCGTTCACATTCATTTGTTCTCGTTCAATAGACATGCAATTATCCGTAAGATTTCCTCACTTTTCGTCAACTAATTCAGCTGGTTATCATGAATAATGATCATGTGAACTTACCTGCAGTACCTAGCATCATCTCAATAAATACTTATTTTTTTAACACCTTACAAATTCTAGTTTCGTGCGCTCACCTTCCTGACACATGATTCCTCCTGAACAAATTTCACATTATTTGCGCTGTGCGGCTTACGACTAAATAAAATAATGTATGCGAATGAAAATGACGATCGAATACGTGGCATAATGATGAAATTTAATCAGATAAAGCATTCAGTTTCATTCATTAAGCGCATTCCCTGATTTTCCTCCTTTTATCGGTTCCAAAGCAAACAGTCACCATCTAATTATGAGCTAAATTGCTCGGCTTAACTGTTTTTATTCCAATTCAAATGGTTATCTATTTCTAAACATCCCCGTAATTGTCTCCTTCTCTGGCTGATTGTGAGTGCACGCAATCGAATCGAGCGAGTATAAAAGCTTCAAGCTTACCCATCCATGATCATCGTGTAAATTTATTTGGTTGCTTGGCTGTCGGTGTGGTGTAGTGCTCGAGAAGAATGAACGAAATTGAAGCATTTCGCGATGACTGTGACATATACTCCGGATGTGCCGAACTGTAACTACAAATCAATGCTGCGGATGATGCTTCGATGGAAGGCGAGCCTTTGGAAGACGGTTATCAAAGATCTGTTACTTTGGTTATTCGTCTACACGATCCTCTCAGTGATCTATCGCTACGCACTGCCCGATGAAAACAAAGAGTCTGTAGAATTTACCGTCGTTCATTCAGTATCATTCGCTTTTTTGTCAACTTTTATNTCAAAGCAACAGTCGAACTCAAGTTCAAAGTCTGTAAACTCAATTTGTAATATCGCTGAAGTAACGAACATTCTGCTCGAGTGAAGCATTTATATGATGTCTTTAGCCGAATGTTGAGAATGAGCGAAACAGATTGATTGTTCAATTTTCAGAATATTCGAAAAAGTGGTTCATTACTGCTACAAGTTCAGTGATTGGGTGCCACTGACATTCATGCTTGGCTTCTATGTGACTCTTGTTGTAACACGATGGTGGTCAATCATCAATAATATTGGATTCATCGATAAGTTCGTTTTCAGAAGTATTTAGTTGGTTTTGAGCTGGAAATTGCGTGTCGTCGTGACAACTATTCAGATACATTCGTTGGTGAATAACAATGGGGACAAATCGTGAATGAATGAGCGGTTCGTGCTTACGACTTATGAGTATGAACAATGGGCGAGCGACCGCAAATTTCATTTTTGTCGTAAGCCCTGAACAGAACAGCTCTGGGTAGTTGCCTCTCGAGCAGTTAGCGTGAAAAGCTGAAAATTTTCTGCTTATCTCATAAATGGAGCGTTTTTTTTTGAAATTTTTTTTCAAGAATCACCTATCTTATGAGATTGTTGAGATGGTTCCGTCTTATTATAGTGATGCTGATAANGCAAATGATTCACGTTAACCTGCAAGCTATGATCAGCTGTAATAGCAATAATGCAAGTGATTCGAACAACAAGAATACGTAGTATTATTTGAAGCGCATTCGATTTTCATGCAATATCACACAGGACTATTTAGGGATGTTGTCTTATTGAGCGAAGCTAATGAACGTCAATGAGTTAAACAGTGATTTCTGTTTTGTACATTCGAGGTACATATATATCATTTATTCAAATCGGAGAATGCAACAGTAATTATTATTTCACCATATTACTATTCATGGATGTCTAGGATTGAAGTTAACAAATGGCTTACCCATTCTTCTTGTGAATAAACATTGCTCTCAGATGAAGACCCCTCCCCCTTATCATCTCCTCTCTCATTCGATCTCTCTTTGGTCAACTGCGATGACCAAGACAGGAGACTGTTTCAAGTCTGGGAGAGTTTAAAATCACTAATATCCTCAATAGTACAGTATTAGTCTGAATCGAACATTCAAACTGTTATAACTCAAGATACATTTCAACGCGAAATAGCTATGCTTATGATGAACCTGATGAATTTATATGTACAATACACGAGACATCTTGAAGCGAAATGAATGATGTAATGCATATGAATTTCATAACAGTTTGGCAATGGTCGTAACGAATTATATCCATGGAGCAGACAAACGCTCGATAATGTACAAACGAGCAATCATACGATATATGTGTGTAATGCAAGCGATGGTATATCGAGCCATATCGCAACCGGTCAAAAACAAATTCCCAACGCTTCAGAGTCTTGTCGATGCGGGTTTGTTATTTCATTGCGTCTCTGATGGAACGTTGTTGAGCAATGCTGACGACGATATACGATGAGAATATCTTTTCGAAGTTATGAAATTAGAGCGATTTCGCTAATAATCAGAAAATGTTCGTTCGTTTGAAGCGGACAATGAGCAACCAACCGATAACTGAAATGAATGAAACCTTGTAGTGAAGCAACGATCTGATTCTACTTCAAGAGATTTCTGGCTAAGTTTTCGCTAAGCCGGAAAAACTTGTGGTTCAGAAATTATTCTGCATCCGGTATGGAAACAATTTGCGTTTGCTCACATTGATTGATTGGAGATTGAAGTTTTTTACACAAACTACACGGTTCAATAATGCACCAACTTTCTCAGTTCATGAAATTTACCACTGAATCACGGTTGTTTTTCATAACTCCGTGACGACGTTTCATTGATTGTTCGATCTTTCCGCATTGTTTGATCCCCCACTGAATAGCTTTTTTTCGCTTTGCTTATAGGATATTTGGAGCCAAATGAAGCAGCAATGTTCTCAGAGAACAACTTCTTTCTATCGGTTCACTGGGCGATGGCACTGGCTCGCGAGGCACGTGATGAAGGCTTAATTGCGTCAGATCACGCACTTCAAGACATATTCAAGGTGTTTATTTGGAGTAATGAAAGCTTTTTTATTAATTGTCTGAATAGACTGCGCCACCGTTATGCGATTGACTCATTCCCGATGGTGCAATCATCACATTCATTTATTGATAACGACCATTATAGGATATTTGATATACTTTGGAAGGGTTCGATCAATATCAGATAAGCAATCGCCAAGCTGTTTATTGTACGCAAAATTCCAGTTGTTATAAGAATTGAGGATTTGCAACCCATGAGATGATGTTGGGAGCGAATGTTTAAAGTGATAAAAGAAAGTCGCATTGTTGAGCGACACGCACTTTGCCTGTTTGGTATCGAAAATTCCATATGTTGGGTTAAAATTCAACACCAATGAATCTTTACGGTCTCCAAGTAAAAATATCCTTCGAAAAGGTTCGTGATATCAAAGTTACGAGCCCAATCCATGATCATGCCTTGTATAGAACAGGATCTAATCAATGAACTTTAACTTCGAATGTTTCAGTGGTGTTGTGAGTTTCGTTGGTCGCAGGTGGTCCTATATGTTTACTATTGGATACCCGTTCCGCTCGTTTACAGTCAAGTCCGTGTTTTTTTAATTTGCCAAGTGAATAAAATTTCTTCCCGAATAATGGTTGCTAGCATTGCAGTTATGACTTGATGACATTTTTACTCACTTTATTCACCAATAGCCATGAAACTGCATCGACATTTGCAAATGCACATTTCCTTCAACAGATGATTCAACCATTTTTGTGGATTTCGAAAAACAATATAGGATTCACATCAAGTCGATAAATTTCATGAAACTTAAAGGCTAAGCAGTATAATTCCGAGCAAGCCCTCATGTGAATGGATTCAAACTGCAAGCAAATGTTATAGTCTTATTAAAATCATAGAAAGTGACGGAAAATGTTGAAATAATGTTGAAAAAATCTCATAATTGATCGATCTCTATGAGTATATAGGACGAAACATTTTGATTTGCTTTCGATTGTTTCCGTTTTCAGGTTGTTGCAATAACGGTTCGATTTTATTTCATTTTGGCCTTATTGGGACGTCAGTATATCAAGGGTGAACTGAATCAGTTTCCGGTTAGTGGTTTCACTATTCTCAGACATTATTCCGAAATGTTTATTATTCGGTGTTCATTATTCATCGATCATCAATGTTATTGGAAATAAATGTAATTTTTG